TTGGAAATGTACACGTACAGAAGTTTGAAAAAAAAATTAAGACGTTGATAAATTGCGTAGAGTTGTTTTACAAAAAAATATGATTGACGCAGGATAACTACCTTGATAGTATATCATTAATACTATCGACAAATGATAAACTCAACTTTCTATGCAAGTCTCCTATTTAAATTTCTGAAAAATTAAAGAAACAATCAAGTCGTAAATAACGATTCACTTCCGATTAGATCAACGTGGAAAGGTCCGATCTTTTAGAGTAGATACTAAATGTACAAACTTCACAATAACCCTCGACTCAACACCTTCACTTCACAATCGTATCAATGGCATTCTACCTAATGATCCATTCTTTAATCTCCGTGTCAATGCAAATCGCTCACCCACGCTTCGTTCTGGTTGTTCATAGTCGTCAGTGTCTGATTCGAAGGCGCTCACTCGCTCTCGCACTACCAAAGAACTTGAATCTTGACCCAGAAAGAGATTGCGCTGTGTGAGCGAGTGAGAGAGAGAGAGAGAGAGAGAGAGCGAGTGAGGCCTGATCGAGGGCCACTTTTTATTTCGCGGTCATGTTCAACAACCGCGCCTGCACTCGCGTAGCACGATGTGCGTTCGCCGCCGATTTCGAGATTAGAATAGCGACGGATAGGAGCAAGTGCAGGAGGAAGTTCTCTCATTGAGTCTGATGAGACGATTGTCACTTGACGGGGTGAGCGACAGAGAAGATGTAGGAGATATTGAGCGTTCGATCTATCGTCGTATCTTTGTCTAGCTTCTGTTTGTGCTTTATGCCACGTGCTTTTCTTTGTGCGTTTGAGCTCTTTTCAGCTGGCGGAATCTCGATATTGCAGCACTACAAATATGCTCAATAAATGACGATCGAATTTTAGATTTATAATAATCTTCTATTTTCGTATTCCAGCCATATATATAACTTTTCTTCGATCGCCTTTGCTCACATTCACACGCATGAGCCAATAACCATAGCAACGCTACATTAAAGCGTCAATCTATATAAACTGGGTAAGATATCACCCGTGTCAGCGTTGTAAACAGGCATCGCACCGGACAGTTTTCCGTCAACCGGAATTAATCTCGATCGGCTCTTGCTGCAACGGATATATCGACACATAAGTCTTCTCGGGGTACCTGATTTACGGGGGAAAGTACGCGTATGTGTACAGAGTAAGAGTTTCCTTCCCTCCTGCTGCATCGACGATTGCTAAATTGCTTTTGTGCAGGAGCGCGATAAATGTTTGTATACAACGGTTTTACCCTTAAGGCGCGAAAGAGCTTATTGATGACAATTTGTGGAACCAATTGCAGCGAGTGTTTGTGTGTGTGTGCGCGCGCGCGCCTTATTATTTACTAGATAAATAGTTCCATTTGATATACGATTTCGTTTCAGTGTAGATAAACATTTGAGTTTCATGTACGAGCTCTCGGATATATAATGACATTATTCTGATGTTTTCATTGACTTGAATATTACTATAAAGAAAGATAGACCTTTTTGTAAATTGTGGATACAAAGCTAGTTTTTTTTTGTATAATTAAATTTCTACTGCTTCCGGTACGCGAGCACCGAGAAAACGTAGCACGTGACATTAGTATCAAAGCGAAAGTATATCGTTGCATTAAATGAAAGTATAGCGTACATGAATAACAGTTAAGTTCAACTGACATTTTTTAACTGAAATTGCTGTTAACTTTTTGGCTCTATGGCCTATTATAGTTAGTTAAAGAATTGATTTTCGAGTGATATTTAAAACGCTTATTCACAGTCGTCAGTATATTCATACTAAAAGATACGCAAAAGAAACTTTCATTTTCTGCGTATTCTGCGCATCGTCAACAACGAAAATTACTTCCTCCATATGTAGTGGAGTAACCATAACTTTTTGTTTCCTTTGCGATTATCACAAAGAAAGGCAGGAGAAAAGATCGATTTCGAGACTTGTAACTGTAATATGTCCAAAAAAGATAAAATAACATGCACACGCACACACAAAGAAGGAGAGAAAGAAGAAGAGAAGGAAGTGCGTCCGACGAGTTTCACTCTCGCTACTAACCTCATGAATAACGGGCAGCGAGCGCGCCGAGAGGAAGGGAAAGTAGTTCTGTGAGTCAGTGGGGCTTACGGTACTGGCCACTCTTTTATTGTGTACGTATAGGCTGCCGACACTTACACACACGCAGAGCTCAACTCAACTCGTTTGCCTGCACGCAACGCTGCCGAAGATTTTTGCGCGTGGCCAAGCGAGATTCTACGAAATATATCGACAAGGAGTGAGGTGCGTGAATGAGACGCGTCCATGGGATTTCGAGGTCTTTTTTGTCTAACGGCAATTGGATAAATGTTGTTATTGTTTTATGGCTACGTGCTCGTTCTCTTTGCAAATAGTTATCGATCATGAAACGTTACGCGACGCAGCATTCTCATTGTAAAGGTCCGGAAATACTCACAGAGGAGTTATCGAGTATAGGCTCTGTGAAACAATTATTCAACAATCTCTCTCTCTCTCTCTCTCTCTCTCTCTCTCTCTCTCTCTCTCTCTTCCTGTCTGTCTTTCCCTCTCGTGCAGAGTTACTAAAATTGTTCGATTTTCTCCAGGAACGTTTTACTACATATTCTTGTATGCGTGTGCATACTGACCTGAAAAAGGCCCATCGAAGCTCGGCTACATACGTGCGCTCGGTGCTCGCGGTTAAATTTTGACGTGCAGTGCAAAAGCTGTGACGTTAATGAACGCTTGAAAAGTTTACGGCTGTTCGTGCTTACGCGCACGATGTTGCAACGGCGACTAATCTCCTCTCCTCCGAATAATTGCATCCTCGGTAATTTATCGTGCAGCTTTTCTCCGGTCGAGAATGTAAAAAAATGATTATAGTATAATAAATCTTTTGGAAGACAAAAGAAGATCATCGGAATTATATAGCCAAGGGGAAGGTGACGATTGACTGTGAAATTATGTGTTGCGCGAATGAACAAATCGGCTTTTTATTCTATTATATCGCCTGTCGATAACTTTTCCTCTCGTCGACAGAAAAACCGGCCTGTTTTGAGGTCATGGTGGGACTTATAAAGTCGCAGATCCTCGCACAAGGAGTCCTCCTCGCGCGCTCACGACCTTCGTACACATGATGCGATCTCGTTCTTTTTTTCTTCATTCGAAGCTATCGTTTCTCATGCTAATTGAGCTTCTTGGTTCTTACTTGTTTGACTATGTATGCCTGACCGTGTCTGTCTTGTTCTACTGATAGCTTTACAAGATCGTCTCTTGCAATTTTCATAGTGTCGATGTTTATTCAATTACATTAGACATTTTCCACGCAAAACCATTTCCATTCGAAAACAAGTTTTACTTTTTCTCTTTATCTTCCTATTGTCGGCTGTCAAAAAGACTCCTCGAATTGAGTCTTCGCTTATATTATACTTTCACGGGCGCACGCACACATACACATGGGCACGTTTTATGGGCCCAAAAACTTGACATTGAATTACCTTCATCGTCGACGAGGAGGAAATGCAAGAACACTGTTAGGAGTAAAATTAAATGCTCTTTCGTATGGTATTTAAGTTTTTGAGAGTCACTATGATGTACTTTTGACTTCCGCTACTCCAGCTCTTTGTTGAGCAATCGTCAATTGAAAATTCCATAGGAACTTTTCGTTGTTTCATCATCGTATCAGTGAAATTATTACTATCGTCACGATCGATTGACAACATTCAATTCGGACAAGTGTCGATACGTCGATCTGGCAAATCAACTGCGAATGTAGGTTTAAATTACAGCTAAAATTTGGCTTTCTTTCCCGAAATCCGCCCGACCAGCTTCGACCAAAAAGGAAAAGTGAATGTCAACGGGCACTGACCGTGGACTGGCCACACGTGTGCAGCGAGCAACGGGCAGTGCGTTCGAAGGTGAAAGCTTTTTTTTCGGTATCGGCATGGCCTAAACCGAGCCCGGGCAGGGCCTTGCTTTGGCTTCTGGTCCCGGCCTGCGCATTCGTCTGATCGCCGTCTGCTGTGCGCGCACTTTCTCCTTCGCGCGAGTAAAAAGCGAGAGTACCTTGTACTTACGTGGGAGGTGAATTTTTTTGTCGTGTATTTTACATGCAGGTTAAAGCGTGCAATTTCACAATTGAATTTCCATGGTGTTTTACCAATCGTGTCGTTAATCGTACGAGACCTTCGTAGGAATGTCTCGTTGAATTTTTTTCATTCACCAATGATGTGCCTGCTGAAAAGTTATCGATTATTCTATCAATACATCGGTATCGCGCACAAGAAAATAAATAATCTGCCACAATAAAACAAAAGACGTTTTCTACATAAAATCAAATCGTAATTATTTTTAAATTTGCGAGAGCAAAATGTCCATCTGATAAAAATTTGGACAAACATTGTTAAGACACCTGAAAATAGAAGAAAACGAAAAAGCTCGAGAAAGCTGAGCTTTCCGCCAAAGAAGAGAGAAAAGCGTCACTCGGCACGCTCGTCATTAAAGCCCTCGTGTGCATAGCTCGCGTGCGATGCAGAAAGGCGTCACACACATGGTGTGTATAATCGGAGCCACACCAACGTACGTGTGCAGAAGAAGAGAGAGAGAGAGAGAGAGAGAGAGAGAGAGAGAGAGAGAGAGAGTGCATCGCTCTCTCGTGCACCGAGCGACCTATCCTAGACTCTGGCGCTACCCCACTTTCGCCGCCCTCGGTCGCGCTTGCGCTTTTGCTCCCCACTCCCTTTGATTCTCCGCGAGCTGGTGTATGTGAGTGGTGTTCCGTCGCCGAGGAAGCCGACGCGCCGTGGAGGGTCCCCAGCAGCAAGCAGTCGTCGCCCTACTTTGGCCTCGCTTGCAGCTGCTTGCAAAAATATCAAACTTGCACTCGCACTACCCTCGCACCCACGTGTGTGTCCGTGTGCGTGCGTCTCTCGCCATGTATTGCGAGCTTTCGTGTGATGTGCCACGAGGAGGAGTGATGATTATCACAAGGACTCGCAGTGCAAATCGTTGATGTATTTATTTTATTTGTTTCCATTTTGTTGAGTGCAGAGAGAAATAGAAAGAGAGAGAGAGAGAGAGAGAGAGAGAGAGAGAGACAGGGTGAATGGAGCAACGATGATGTTACTACTGCCACGAGGACTAAGACTGAGGGCGGAGCCTTCAGAGCACTTATCCTTCGGTTTTACTAGACGATTTGGAGGCTGATTATGTTTTCATGCTACCAATGACACTGCCAAAGGAGTAGTGTAATCTTCAATTGACTGGTGGAGAAGCTTCCCTTCTTTTATTTTCGGTGAGCAAGAGCGAGAGATTGTTGTCGGTAGCAGCGCCCATTGGGCTGAAGTTTCTTGTTTCGGATGTTTTAACGAAAAAAACATGTGAGTTTTAGATTCTACTTTTTGCATGCGATCTGATCGTTCAGTGCTTAATTTTCGTTTTTGCGTCGATTTGAAGGAGCCTTTGTGATGCCAACCAAATAATCTAAGCGCGTCATATTTTTTATAACAATCAGATAGCTTATTAATGCAGAAAGCGTAAAGTCGTTGTCAATTATATCCATTTCACCATTAGACTTTCTTCAACAAATGCATTTTGACCGACTACCACGTAACGATCAACGCCAGAATTACGTTTCAATTTTCACTTGGCGTTAAACGATAAACGCGACCGTCGTCAAACGCCAGACTCACTCACAAGTTGTTATAACACAAGCGGTTCGCGCCCAAAAGACAAAGACCAGGAAGAAAAGAGGAAAGAGCGAAAAAAAGATAGTACAAGGAGCCAGAGAACTGCGAAGGTCTAGGTCGCTCGCGCGTGCGCTCGACCGTCCGCTCGCGCGCGAATTCGTTAAGCAAATTTTCGGAGAGGCGCTCGCTCTCTTGCTCGTATATATCGTTGCGAAGGCCGCAGCGCACGAGGAAGAAACTTCGACGCAAGGACAAGCGATGAAGTGCGTGCGCGTGCGCGCGTGTGTGTACATGTGAGCCTGGAGAAAAGGTAAACTTTCGATTTCGTTTTGCCAGATGGAGATGTTTTTCTGTTTCATTTTTTTTTTCAACTCGTGATAAAAATCATGAAAGTCACGGTCATACACACACACGCCGCAGAAAAAAAAATGCCTCAACAGAGATACATTTACCGGCGAATTTATTGCCATCTGAATATACATGCAATAAAGTCCATAGCAGATGGACACCACTATCGCCAGACGATGAGAGTGTGCTGGAGTTACGTAAAAAGCTCTCGAGGCCTAGAAATGTCATGCGGTATCTTTATAAACAGGCCAAAAACATACGAGCAAGACGTTCACTTTACTACTCTCACAGCTCATTTGCAAACCCACGCTCGCTGTTACCTCTTTCGAATTTCGAATTTATCATTATTATAGGAGGTATACTGTAAACTCTTTTAGACAGTCGCAGAGCCACGAAAAAAATCACCCACAAGTAAATATTGCTAACGTATTGATTATAAGACGAAGAATGAGGGACAGGAAACGGTGACAAGCATTGCCCGATATTTTTCATATGCTGCAAAAAAAAAAGTTTGAGAGAGATTTCGCCGATGAAAATATTTTCGTCGAGCAGAAACAGAGAAGCTGTGTAGGCCAAAAAGCTATTCTGGCGGATGAACGCAGAGAAAGAGTCTGACGTTCCAATCTAGTTCGACGACACGGTCACAGTATTTCACTATTTCGCTCTTTTTTGTTACCGACGTATTTCTAGTGTTCAAAGTTTTCAGGGATTCGGTTCAATGAGTAATTGAAACTTTTATTTCTTTTATAATTATTTATTTTCTTATAATTATCTCCATCCGTTCTTTTAATTTTCTCTTCTTGCATTGGATAAATATTCTCTTTACCACTTTTTCTCTCTCACAAAATAAAAAAAAATTATCCACAATACGCTGCACAAATACCTAACCAGTAGCGTGCGAGAGAGTCCATTGAGTCTGGTGACACGTCAAACGCAGTCTCGATCTTCCGTTTGGTTACGTTGCCGCGCCACTGCCGCCGAGGCTGGAATAAAAGTCTATCGTGCGAAAGAAAAGGATAGAAATTGTTGTATTTATAGAAAGACTGAAAATTGGGTGAAATATGCTTTTTTATGACACTCAGAATGGTACGTACGTGTGTTACGCAATTCTGACGAAAAAGCCAATATATACAACAAAAGATCATTATGGAAGGTCATTATTTCGCTACGAGGAAAATGCGTGGCAATCGAGCGAGTTGTATTGGATAATTTGCGTCCCAAAGCTAGCCTTTTCATTTGAGTTGGTTTATTACACAATGGTTTGGCTACTTTGGCCCACGCGAGCGCGCGCGCGCGCGTGTGCGTGCAGTTTGCCTTACGCGCAATCAACTGTCGGGCTGTGATTGGAAGTTTTGTGATCAACACCTTCGGGCAGTGTCTTATTATTCTGATTTTGCTACAAGACACGGCCAATTACATCGGGCTTGTGCGCGAATCGACTCTACCATCAATGGAGGCCAAATGTGCAACAAGAGCAGCGCGCGTCTAAATAACAGACAGCATTCGCGATCTATACCAATCTTGCCGCGCTAAATATATCCGGATTGGATGTATGCATGTGCCGCGTGAGACGCTAAATGTCTGACCAAATTAGAGAATACTACTTAGAAAATTGTTGCAGGAACGCTTGAAATATCGACACTTCTTTTCAAAATGTATGAATTTGAACGGAAGCGTACGTCCACAAAAAACATTTTACGTCTTACTTGAGCGTTCAATTATTCAATTGCACTCCGAGTGGTCGATACCTAAACTTTTAATGAAGGAAAAAGCCAAAACCATCGCGGCAAGCATCGTTTTGCTCGACATATCAAAACGGCAATATGCGCTCTCATCTATTTAGTGAAATACATATCCGACGTCTGGAAGCGGCTCGCAAGGCAATCGAGCTATTATAGCGGTGTGTGCACGCGTTTGCGAGCGTACGCGTTCAAGGCGTGAACTCGGCATTTTTGCATGTGTATATACCTTGCAAATTACGTTCTGCCGTGGCAGCAGCAGCGAAGCTGTGTGAGGCCATGCGATCACGTAACGACTCCGCTCAGACAAAAGATCTTGCACGTTTTTTATTTCTTTTTCTGTACATTAGTTTCATCGTAATGTTTGTTACATACTTTTTACGAATACAGTTTGCTCATTGTTGCGCGTTGAAGATGGTTTTGAAGAAAACTTTATGAGTTTGGTATCGAGGGTAACTATAGGAAATAGTAGGTCAATTGCTAATCTGAGAATGAAGAATACAAGCGAAGATAATATAAATTAACGATTCTATTTCACTTTCCGTCGGTTACGTGTCAACATTTTTTTATTCTCCTGGCAAATATTTTATCAGTCAAACTCTCCTTGTAAAAACTGTTCGTGTAACCTTAGCAGTGAAAAAACCCAGCACCGAAACCTCGGCAAGACCGCTCACATAAATTATCGGGCCATGCACTTCCCTAATGATCCCGCCGTGAGCGGCCTTGACACGTGCTCGCGTCTATACACACACAGTGGTATATTCGGGTGGGCCATCAAATATTTATCCGCAGCTCTCTCACTCTCTCTCTCTCTCTCTCTCTCTCTCTCTCTCTCTCTCTCTCTCTCTCTCTCTCTCTCTCTCTCTCCCAGTTGCCGTTGACCGTGAATTTTGTGTCACGATTAATCTTGAAAATGATACATTATCAATGTTTTTTTTTGCAAGATGACTAAATTCCTGTTCTGGAAAGTAACTTTCAATTGCAAAATTATACTTTGACGCTTGTTCGAATGATCGTATCCGCTTTTTTCTTTACCCAATTATATATGCTAATGAGCAGGCTAATTTGGTGATGCAGTGACTGCTTGTAAATGCGACTTTAATGTAAAATTTGTAATTCAAGTTCAACATCCACGATGGACTATTGAATTAGCATCACACGTGTCGGTATTTTTTTCAATCATGATAGATGAGATCTCCTTCTCATTGCAAAAACCTAAAAGTCAAAATAAAAATTTTTTCATCTGTCTAGCTTTCACCTTGACCTTAAAATGCTCGTTTGTATAAAGAGTTTTAATTTTCGAAAGGAACATTTACTTCTCGAATTTTTCGCCCTCTCTCGCTTTCTCAACAAAACTTTTATTTTATTCTTTATTGTTGGTAGCTAAACAATCATTCAAATAATTACAACGTGAATACAATGACGAGCGCGCTATGGTGTAAGTCAAGACAGGAGAGCAAGAGTCTCCTGACGTCTAAGGAAACTACGTTCGCTTACGTAGTCGAATAATAATATAATCTTTGACATACTTTTAATAATTTTTTAACAAATATGCAGATCAAGATTGCCGAATTTTTTTTATTTTTTAATTAAGGATACTATTAATTCATTGATCAGATGACGTCATTTAAAATCAATGTTATAGGGATAGATAGTTTCATCTAAAATATGCTAGTATTATTTTTGTTTTAATTTTAATAATTCTAATATATTATCTATATTTGACTAAAACTTTATGGAATCTATAATTCTTCATGGCATAGATTCTACGGATGTTTATCTCACAACTTTGTAATAACTGGAAATTTCTCTGATCATGTTAATTTATTATACCATAAGTTGAGGGCGACATGAGCTATATATGGGTAACCATTGTATTTAAATTTAATAGAGCTTATAATCCGCCTGGCGTTAACATGTTAAACTGTAATACGTTGTTATAACATTTTGTTGGCATTTTTTAAATTTACATTTATCGTAATTAAGTCACTTCGCAAATATTAAAGAATCAAAAACGGCAAATTCCACGTAAATTTTTTTCAACTTTTAACATAATTTGAAGAAAAATAGAAGAAATAAAATTTTTAAAATCAAAGAAGATCACGTCACCTAAGCAATCAATTTTTGACAGCCTGTGGGATTCCTAGTTATCCTCAAACATTAATAATCTGTTTACCAAAGTTTCCATTATAACTATAAGCATTTAAATAATACGCAACTTCAAAGAACAAATAGAAGTTAAAATAGCAATATTTTGAAAAATAAAATAGTAAAAATGATATTTTTCGGTAAAATCGTGCGAATTTCGTAGTTTGCACAAAGAAAATCGTTTATCGTTGTGTATTCAATTGCATTACGATGGGTCATTATTTGTCTTATCGAACTGCTACTGAAAATGTTTTTTCTGCAGAAGAGATACATCGAGCGTCGCTGATTAGTTCATATTTTTCATCATACCAAGTACGTCAGGTAGTTGTGCACGCATCCAGGTGAAATATCTATAAATTTAGTGGTTATACGTATTAAACAACCGTAAACATAAAATGTTCGGCTATAAACTTAACTAGCCAAGATTAGGAGCTTATACGCAAAAAAAGTGTCCAA